ATCTTTATCCAAGCCATGAGAAGAAGGTTCGACGACCCTTTGACCGAGCGTCGCGCTAGGCTGAAATTTATGGCCCTTAAACAGGAAAAGAAAACTGTGCCTGACTATGTGCAGGAATTTCAGGAATTGTCAGCCTATATGAGGGGGTGGGCGGAAGAGGCCTTGCTGGATCAATTCGCTGATGGCTTGGATAAAGATTTTTACCCGCAATGCATAAACAGACGCCTTTCCCGTCGTTTGGAACCTTGGTATGAGAACGCTGCAGACATTGAGTTAGACTTAATCAGGCTTCGTTGCATGGAAGAGGGAGAAGTTGAGAAATCCCCCCCAGCACCCCTTAAAGCCCAATTCCAAGAGGCTCATGGAGAAGAATGCTGGACTTTGTCAGGGACTCACCTGCAGAGCCACCCATGAAGGCTCCCAGAGTTAGCCAATACCAGTCAGATTCTGCCGCCACCTGGAAGGACGCATATTTGGCGAAGGAATGCTGATTTTCAAAATCAGTGAAGTCGACACGCAATTCATTCTTTCCTAGGAGGAAGAAAACAGCCACGTGGGTCATGTGGTGCACAACCCTTGAGGCTCTTCCCAGTGAGGGTCCTGAGCCCCTCTCCCCTGGCAGCAGGAGGGTTCAGGATTGCAATGGGAAGCCCCTCAACCAGCGAGGTCAAGCGGTGAAGGTTGTCTTTCCCCAGCCAGAATTCGGTCAGCTGGTTTCCAAATCCTTTCTTGTAGGCAGCCCAGTCGCGGAAAAAGTTCACCGAGCCATCCGACCACTTTTGGAAGACCTGAGGGGGAAAATCAGGACTCCACCTTCCAGCTCAGCAGCCCCCAAATCTTCCCTCCTTCCCAAATTTTAGGGGTTGCCAGAACTGGTCTTCTCCACCCCTACCAGGTCTCCTCCAACCCCACCCCACCCCGCATCCTGGCCTCAGGAAAGACTTGGTTTCTGGTTCAATCCTGGGTGTGTCTGCTGTGGGGCATAACCCCCTTCCCCAGGGAAGGCTCCCTCAAAGACACGATGGTCAGAAGCACCGTACACCTTGGCTACACATGGGTAAGAGCTGCCCTCCACCACACTCACAATCCATCCACCTCCGTCGGTGACCATGTCGCACAGCACCTGCAGGGGCTGGCAGTCCTGGGGGTAGACGGAGGACTCCTGTGACCCTGGATGGATTGCGATCATCAGGGAGAACAGGAGGAGGAGACCCACTTGCTCTCCAGCTCTCCTCATGGTGCCCACTGGACTCCTGCTTCCTGTTCCAGTGCAAGAGCATGTATTTCATTGACTGTTGTCAGACTGCCATGGGGCCATGTAGGGGTTATGTAGGGGTCATAGCTGGTTCCATAGGCAAAGTACAAATCCTAGGTCTTTGTCTGAGCTAGGTTTGGTTGAAATTCCTATTATGGCTTAAGGGCTTTATCCTAGTTTGGATCTTGGGTGAGGGCTAATCTGCCTTTGTTCAGACTTTGCTGCAGGGAGTGATGGATGAACAAATCTGCATTTCTAAAAGCTGCCCCAGCTCAGTATCTGCTTGTGGGGGAAGGGAGCTGGGGCTCTGAGTTTCTGTCTCCCTTAAGATATTTTATTTCTCTTTTAGGGGAAATACTTTATCCTTCCTTTTTAAAATACTCCTCAAAATATTTCATTCCTCTAGGAGGGGA